CCTTCAATCCCAGAAATGAGAAAAATAGTAACAATCAATTGTCTTTTAAAATCATTTGTTGTTGGGGTAGCTAGATGCATGCTGATAGATAACCAGAAATATTTTTAAAATAAGAAAAACTAAGCAACAATTTAAATCTCCCTCTTGTGAGAAACCCAAAGTAGAAGAAAAGCAATAGTAAAGATTGTAGCACAGATTAATTAAATTGGAAAATATGCAATACTTAAAAACTAATAAAACCAAAAAAATCTTTTTCTTGGAAAAGACTAAAACAGACAGATGATATAGAGCTGAGGGAGGTAGCTAAGACAGAGAGCTGAGACAGAATAGAGAGATGATAGATGGGAAGATAAAATTGATAACTCTCTTATAAAACTAGTCAAGGAGAAAAGAAGAGCCATGCATGGTAGCGCATACCTGTAATCCCAGCAGCTCAGGACCACAAGTTCAAAGCCATCCTCAGCAACTTAGTAAGACTGTCTCAAATAAAATTATAAAAATGCAGGGAGGGGGTGCTGAGGATATGGCTCAGTGGTTTAGCATCCTTGGATTCAATTTCTAGTATAAAGAAGAAGGAGGAGGAGAAAGAATGCACATATTATGAATTTCAAATATAGGGAAGGGGGTCTAACTTCAAATTGGACAGACATTCAAAAGAGAGTATGAGAATATTATAAAGAGCTTAACAACAGTGCATTGGAACATTTATATTAAATGGATAAATTTCTCAAAACATAACTTTTCTAACATGTTTAAATTAAAAACTAAATATTATATATAGTCAATAAATTGATTTTAAAATCTTTTTCATTGGTTCTTTTTAGTTATACATGACAATAGACTCATTTTGACATAATTATGAAAGCATGGAATCTATCTTGTTCTAATTAGGTCTCCAATATCTCCCCATCCCCTCCCCTATCCTCACCCCTACTCCCTTCTCTGATAATCTTTCTGTCATTTACCCATATTTTTAAAAAAAATTTCTTGTGGATATACATGATGGTGAGGTTCCCTGTGGTCTATTCACATATGTACATAGGAAAGTTATGCCAGATTCATTCCACTGTCTTTCCTTTTTCCATCCCACTTCCCTTCCCTTTGTTCCCCTTTGAATAAATTAAATTTATTAATAAGTTTACTCACACAAGCACACAATCCCAGGCCCCAGATAGCATCATAAATGGACTCATCCAAACATTTAAGTAAGAAATGACACCAATATTATACAGTTTCTTCAGAGATGAGACAAAGAGAAAGAGCTTCCAATTTGTTTTACATATCCAGTACAACATGGGCACCAAAACCTAGTACTATAAGAATATTATACAAAAAGTACAGGCAAATGTCTCCCATGAACTTAATCACAAAATTCTCAACAAAATATAAACTGACAGATATATATATATATATATATATATATATATATATATATATATATATATATTCAAAAAAAACCACACACACACATATAAAAATTAGTGTATCACGATAAAGTTTATTTCAGAGATGCAATGATCAATCAATGTTATTCATTACATTACAGAATTTATAAGAAAGATCATATGATCATAGATTCACAAAAAGTAGTAAATAAAATTTACCATCTATTTATGATACAAATATGTAGAAAACAAGAAGTGAAAATAATTTTTAATTGATAAAACTAATCTCTTAGATAGATGGAGATGGAAATAGAAATATAGATGTATCTTCAAACTTACAGCACACATTAACCTACTAGGAAATATTAAAAACTATCCTTCTAAGATCTGAAGGAAGACAAAAATGACCATTGCCATCAATTCTATTTAACATTGCACTTGAAAACCAACAAGTAAAAGAACCAATATTTTAAGAATTGAACAAATGGACAAAATATTTGAATAAGCATTTCAACAAGATGTCATCCAAATGGCCAATAACATGAAAATGTGCTTAACCTAATTAATAATCAGGAAAATGCAAATTAAATTTGCAACATGATGCAATTATAAACTCCTCAGAAGAGCTGAAATGAAAAAACAGAAAATCCCAAATGTTGGCAAAAATGAGTGGCATCTGGTCCCCAATACACAGCTGGTGTGAGTGTAAATCAGAATAATCTCTTTAGAAGGCGATTTGGCTATAACTACTAAAGTAGAACATGTCATACCTTTTGGCCAAGAAAAGCCAGTCTCAGATATATTACCCAACAGGAATTTGTATGTAAGTTCATTGAAGATATGTATGGAAATGTTACCAGCAGCACTTTTCACAGTAGCCAAAAACAAACAAATCAAAAAATAGCCAATTGTCCATCATCAGTGAAATGGATAAACAAATATTGTGGTATATTTGTAGAACAGAATAATATACAGTAATAAGAATGAATGAACTATAAATATTTACAACAAGGTGATATGTGTTGTAAACTGAAATTACAGACAAAAGAAGCCACACACACATACACACACACAGACACACAAATTATTTATGATATGATTCTATATATACATTATCAAGACAGTTATCTTCAGTAAGATAGGGTTTTCTTGGGTGCTAGTCATGATCTAGTGGTGTGTTAAGATTGCACTGGTGAGCTAAGATGTAGCTCAGTGGTAGAGCACTTTCCTAGCATGCATAAGGCCCTGAGTTTGATCCCCAGCAACACACACACACACATGGTAAAGAAAAAAAAATTGCATTGATATATTTTTATTTCTGCAAAATCTTTAAAGTGTGTAGTTAGGAATTGTATACTTTTCTATGTATAAGACACAGTTTCAATGAAAAGTTAACTAACAATGTGTAAAAGCAGTCTCAACAGCAGCACAGTGAGGGGCAAACAAAATCAATGGTATCCAGTAAAGAGGCACAGTCAAGATCCCTCTGCCTGGTACCTTGTTGCTCCTGCATCCAGTTGTTCCCTTATCTGCAGGCTACATTATGATGGCACAGCTCTGTCTTGCTCTCATTTTGCTTCTGCTGTTCCTGACTAACTCATTTTCTTTCTCTCTCTAGGTCTTCTAACACTGTCTCCCACTTTCACCTATGCACTTTCTCTGCACTTTCCACTCACTGTGTCTTCCAGGCACACTCATCTCATGGGAAAAGATCTATCCAAGTCAGCTTGTCAACATGAAGTAGAGGTGCCCATTTTTTTCCCCTTTAATTTTTATTGTTGGTTGTTCAAAACATTACATAGTTCTTGACATATCATATTTCACACTTTGATTCAAGTGGGTTATGAACTCCCATTTTTACCCCGTATACAGATTGCAGCATCACATCAGTTACACATCCACTGTTTTACATATTGCTATACTAGTGTCTTGTATTCTGCTGCCTTTCCTATCCTCTACTATCCCCCATCCCCTCCCCTCCCATCTTCTCTCACTACCCCATCTACTGTAATTCATTTCTCCCCCTTGTTTTTTTCCCCTTTCCCCTCACTTCCTCTTGTATGTAATTTTGTATAACCATGAGGGTCTCCTTCCATTTCCGTGCAATTTCCCTTCTCTTTCCTCTTCCCTCCCACCTCTCACCCCTGTTTAATGTTAATCTTCTTCTCATGCTCTTCCTCCCAACTCTGTTCTTAGTTACTCTCCTTATATCAAATAAAACATTTGGCATGTTTTTTAGGGATTGGCTAGCTTCACTTAGCATAATCTGTTCTAATGCCATCCATTTCCCTGCAAATTCTATGATTTTGTCATTTTTTAATGCAGAGTAGTACTCCATTGTGTATAAATGCCACATTTTTTTTATCCATTCGTCTATTGAAGGGCATCTAGGTTGGTTCCACAGTCTTGCTATTGTGAATTGTGCTGCTATGAACATCGATGTAGCAGTGTCCCTGTAGCATGCTCTTTTTAGGTCTTTATGGAATAGACCAAGAAGGGGAATAGCTGGGTCAAATGGTGGTTCCAATCCCAGCTTTCCAAGAAATCTCCATACTGCTTTCCAAATTGGCTGCACCAATTTGCAGTCCCACCAGCCATGTACAAGTGTACCCTTTTCCCCATATCCTCGCCAGCACTTGTTGTTGTTTGACTTCATAATGGCTGCCAATCTTACTGGAGTGAGATGGTATTTTGAGTATAACTACAGTAGCAAATCAGCTGGGAGCAATGGTGTACACATAATCTCAGCAATTCTGGATGCAGGAAGGATTGCAAGTTCAAGGTCAACCTCAGCAACTTAGTTAGATTTTGTCTTAAAATATAAATTTTAAAAGGCTTGGGATATATATAGCTCAGTGGTAAAGAGCTCTTGGGCTCAATCCCCAATCAAGAAAAAAAAAAAAAAAAAGGAACCTTGGAACCTTGGTAACAAGTCACCTCACAGGCCACTGTCAAAGTTGCAAATAGGTTAGAATACTTGTAAGCCACAGTTGGATAGTAGGAATACATAAAATTCAGCTTTGTCTGAAAGAATAAGTCTGGTCACAGGATTAGAAGTGGGAATATCCAATCCATGAACACAACATATTACACTTGGTTAGTCCTCAATCCCAGCTAGGTGTCAACCTTTGGAAACTACAGAACTACCGGCTCACCTTCCTCCCATTGTCTGGCACATTGCAGAATATGCAAGAGGAGATGCTCAGCAGTTATTTATTTGAAGAACTGATAACAACAAATAGGTGACCTAGTGTCCTGACTCTAATCTCTGTCTCTGTTCTCAGACTCATCCTCAAACAATGACTTTGATGTGAAATATCTGGATCTGTACTGTAAGTCTCCAAAATCCATGTCACAAACATGAAAAGCCACACCATGTCCTCAGTTCACTGTTCAAAAGTAGCATTTCAGATACCAAAGATTATAATGTGTCTCTTTCTTTACATCAAACCAAAGTGCTTTGGCTCTAACTAAAATGAGATGCCAGTCCATTTCATTTAATCTGCAGTCAAAGGATGATGTCACTGTGCTGGTTCATTTTTAGGAGAGCCACTAAAATTTCTTTCTGTGTGTTTAGTTTCAGGAGATTGATTCTGTTTAACTATTCAATTGCAGATATAAATGAATGTACTATTGACAATGGTGGCTGTCAGGACCAGTGCTGTAATACAATTGGCAGTTATTATTGCAAATGTCAAGCTGGCCAGCAGCTGGAAGAAGATGGCAGAGGATGTGAAGGTAACAGTTAAGACTGTCTGCTTACTGATAAGGAAAAAAGAGAGCATGTATGCAATGCAAAAGAGGGGTTTCTCTTTTATCCAGAGCCAGTTGAAGTGCTTGTGTTGAATATTGTCAAGAGCACAGATCTTCCTCTCATGCCTAGATTACAAAATTGTAACCCATTAGAACACTTCAAGTAGCTTATTATAGGAAACATATGATTATATGCTGGTTTGGTTGTGTCATGTTCTGATTATGGAATTTCAATCGTTCATTTAAATCCCTGGGTAAAGTACATATTTTTGAAAGCATTTCATTTAATTCTAAAGTAAAAATGGTGCTTATCATAAAATACTCATATGTTGCTACAATAGAAAGGCAGAGGCACAAAACTAACCACAGGAATAGTATTCTTAGTGCAGAATTAACTTTTTTGCATAAACTTCAATGTTCTGTCTCCTTTTTAAATTAATTCCTTCCTTCCTTTGTTTATTGATTTGTCATCTTATTCATTTGACACTCACTGAATTTCTGCTCTGTATTAGGCATTATTTCATGCTCTGGAAATATAAAAATTAATGAGGAATAAATTCTTCCCTGAAGGAGTTCATTGATTAGAAGGAAAGATTGAAACATTTGCCCAAACCTTATAAAATGATGTTTGAAGACATTATAGCATGAGGTTAAGTTTGAGTTCTAGCTATGTCACTATTTGTGTAACCTTGGGCAAGGTATTTCAACATTCTAAGACTCTCTTAACCGTAAAACTTAGGATAATGCTAGTTATCAAAAAGTCACAAAATTTGCTATGAGAATTAAATAAGATAATGCACGTAAGCACTTAGCATAGTGGCTAGCACAAAGTAGGAGCATTGTACCTTTGTATATTAACTCAGTTGCTGCTCTTACAGGAACGGAATGGGAGCCAGAGAGTGCTTCCTTCTCTTAAGCTTTAAGAAGAGAAATCTCAGACTAAAGGGAACACTTGTGCCATGCCTTATAACTATTTTGACTTTCCCCCTGTCTATTCATGTTGCTAAAATGCCCAAACATTTTATATATTCAGGATTGTTGTTTATTAGTTTAAGGTCACAGTATAAAAGCATCGGTCCTAATTGTGTTTTACCATTGACCTTACAAAATCACACTAATTTTTTTTCTTCCTAATGACATCTATTCCCAATGAGGGGCCCATGTGAGTAAGTTGGTAGGAGAAAGAATAGACAAAAAAAAAAATGTCCCTACAGAGGATGCCTGGGGCTGGGACTCTGGATGTGGGGACTGCTAGTTTAGATCTTTGATCCAGTTCCTTTCATTAGTGTCTTCCAGCAGGCTTGGAGAGGCAGCAACAAGAAACACTTTGGATGTGTTCAAGGACAAGGGAATCCAAGCCTTCCTGAGATAGGCTTCACCTCAGACAGGGTCCTCTGCCTGGAAAGGTAGAAATTCACAAAGGCAAGTCCTAAATTCATCCAGGCTCTTTTTAGTCAAGTGTAATCATGCTTACTTCTGGATGTGACTATTTGGTGGTAGTGTTCTCAGTATGGATTCAATGACAGGGAAGAGGAGGAGTCTGGACCAGGGTGGTGATGGCCACTAAAGACAATGCAGTCTTGTAAAATGAGAATATCATTTTTCATGACATTTCCCTTGTCTGCGAGGCAGTAACTTACTGTTTCTCTTTAGTTGGGTGTTATTATGATCATCATTGTCATTATTATGAATACATTCCCGGTGATGAGTGCAGTAATTAGCCATTGTTAGGTATAACAGTTTTTATTATTATTTTATAATAGCTGTTAGGTTGATAAAGCATGTTAGACTTTATACCCCCTAGCTCATTTAATTTCATTCATATCCTATTTTAATTGAAGTTAGTTACTCTTGGTGGCTCATGTAAATGTTAAAATATTGAGAAAAGAGCTTTCCATGGCTTCATTAAATTGAAGTCCTCTTGTACAGACTGTATAAGAGTGAGGTCAGTATTGGTGAGACTCAAGAGTTTGATAATGAGGTAACCTTGACATGCCCCTTCCCAGAATGTAGAACCGCAGGTAGTAGCATGGATTGGAGCCCATTGCCCGCAAGGGACCCTTCCCTCAGTCTCATTCATTTTAGCATCTTTTCCTTGTTTCTGTAAGCTACTATTTGGTGGAGATAGTAATGTTAGAGATTCAGCTTGTTCAATTGTTGTCCATACCATGATCTCAGATTTATTTATATACATAGTTAAATAAAAAATAATAGAGGTTCTTTTGCAATCCAGTGCATTCTAAAGTCACAGCAAATGAGCATTGTGCCAGCCACTATGCAAAAACTTCATGTGAGTGCACTAATGAGTCATCCGTGTTCTTTCACTAGCTCGAAACGGTAAAGGTCAGTTGGTTTCAAACAACATTGTGTTGAATGCTACAGCCATAGAATTAAGCAGTCATTTTAAAAGACTTTTTCTTGGCATTAATATATATTTGAATTGCTTTTTAAGTACAAATCAACATTTTAGTGGACATTTGTGGTGCTATTAAAATAAATATAGAGTCTGCTCTTAAATGGGATTGAAACATTTGCAAATGGCCTTGTTAGCTAATCTTTTTCTTCAACTTTTTCCTCTAAAGAGATATAAACTTGTGGAGAAGCAGAAGCTTCTGATTAGCTCAGTTGCACTGGTATCCCCTGATCTCAGGCACAGTGCTGAACCTAAAGCATGTTTTCTGATTCATAGTTCACATGGATTCTTACAAGGAACAGATCAAAGGAGCAAATGAGGAGAAGGCATTGCCTGCCGCTGGATGCTGTGGATATTTTAATATATGTACATATATGTATATATACACTCAAAGGACAAGATTTTTCTTCTTTGTTAGTGTGTTAACATTATGACATTTACAGATTTTCAAGTATGCAACTATCTTTGCATTTCAAGTGATAATCCAATGGGATGTTAGCATTTTATTTGCTTTTAAATTCAGTTTTCTATTGCTATTTGACTTTTGGTTCCCACAACCATGAATGAAATAGATCCGTAATTTTTGTTTCTCACGTGGTCTTTATGACAGTGGTTCTTCAATGAAGTGATTTGGTCCCCCAGAGACATGTGGGTGTATTCATTTGCACAACTGGGAAGAGTGAGTGCTGCTGACATGTGGGGTAGAAGTTAAGATTCTTCCCAGCATCCTCTTCTGTGGCTCTGATTAGACTTTCCCATGCTAGCCTCCTTGTCTCTTTAATATATTTTATTTTATTTTCTGTCTTTACTGCATATGTTCAACCAGTCTATTGAGTTTTGGATTTCAACAATTTACATTTTTAGATGTCTTATGTTTCTTATTCTCAAATTCATAGGTTCCTTTCTATATGTATATTCATTTTTATCATTGTATATTTTCCTTTTACTATTTCATGTATAGCCATTCTATATTCTGAATCTTATTCCAACACCTGTGGTCCTTGTGAGGAGTCTAAATCTATTGGTTCTTATTTCTAGGCATTATTTACAAAGTGTTTTCGCATTGCCTTTCCTTTCCTTTTGTGTATACCATGGTGTAGAACTTATAGTAGAGCACTGTAACTATTTATAGGTTTCTACTATTATTAATTAGACTAGGAATCTTGGGAAAAGGATTCCCAAGTTAAAGAATCTTGTCTTTCCACTTTTCCAATCCCATAGAATTCCATAAATATTCATTGAATGAATGGTTGGATGAACACCCATTCTTTCAATGTGAATACATGCAAGCACCCAGTCAATACACCTTTCATTTATCTCCTTATCTACAAATCCCAATCATGTTGGTGTTGTCATTTGAAAGTTTACCAGTTAAGCCATTGGGTTATCAGTAGGTCTTACTGTAAATATTTGCTCAAAGTAAATTTGATATATTTGAAAGGGCACAGCACATTTTCATTTCTAGAGAATAAGTAAAACTTTGAACTTCCTGAACTCTTTCTTCATGTGGCTTATCTAAACCATTGGTGCAGCAGCATAACTAATGAGACTAGTAGTCCCATGGAGTCAAGAAACTTTTTTGAATAATTACTGTACATTTTAATAAGTTAACTAACAAAGCTAATAAACATTGATTAGACACTTGAGACAAATTCTTCTGCTTGAGAGAAATAAATGAACATACATTATCCATTCATAAAGGCATGTGATTTCATTAACTGATTGTTACAATATTTTAAAGTAATTTTATTGATATTTTAGAGTGATATTTCCCCCCAAACACATTGGATGTGATAATGTGAATAAATAGAAATTCTAATTCAGAATGCCATTGTTGTAAGTCATAGAATATTTGAACTGAATAAAAAGCTTCTATAGATGAAATCTCAGAGAAATTAAATGTCTTGCACCAGTTCATAAAGTTAGTTGGTGAACAAAGTGGCACTATATGCCAGGCTTTCCTATTCACTATATATCTTTTCCAGTGTCCTTTCCCTTAGATGTGGTTGATAAGCAGCATGCACTAGATACAGAGCAGGTTAATCAGAACCACAGAGTCACAGTGCTGCATTGGCCCAGGGCCCTCAACTCATAGAGGCCATGATCAACCAAGGACAGAAATTAAGACCTGGAGAGAATGACCAATTTCCTCTAAGTTTCAAACAATTCATTTGTAGAAGTAGAAACACAATCTAGTTCTCCTTTTTTCATTTGTCATTCTTCTCAATTGATCCATCAATCTGGCCAGTAATATCTTCTGGGTAGATGTAGTTGGGTATTTGAGAATATCAGAGTAATACAAATTATGTTTTGTTCCATCATGGAGTTTCTCTCATTGATGCAGAGAAAGAAGAGGAGGGGCAGGGAAGGAATCTAAACAGAAAATAGAAAAAGTAGGCCAGCACAACGGTGCATGCCTACAGTCCTGGTTACCTGGAGCCTGAGACAGAAAGACTGGTTGAGCCCAGAAGTTTGGGTCTAGCCTGGGCAACGCAATAAGATCCCATTTCTTAAAAAAAGAAAAGAAGGGATTCCACTGAGGCAGTGATATCCATCCAGGAAGCAAGGAGCC